AGGAGTGTGAACTGGCTGGCTTTGTGTGGAGAGGTCACGGAGGATGTGGTCCCAAAGACTCTCTTGAGGGCCCAGAATAGGAAGTACCAGCTGCAAATTTGCTCCCCCCCCCCCCCCCCCGGGATGATGAACAGGGGCTGGCGGGGGGAGGGCCACAGCAGCAGGAAGGGGGACAGTACTTGAGAAAGGAATTCCGAAGCCTTTCCTCTTTATCATTCTGGTTAGCTGGAATGGGTGTGACTCAGGGACCTGAGGCCTTGAGATCCTGATCTGGCTCTGTCTGGGGTTTTTCAGCACTTTCCAGAAGGGGATAGGGTTTTCTTTCTACCTAGGCCCCGGGGCGATGCAGCAGGTATCCTCAGCTGTTGTGCCGGCAGCCCCTCCCCCTACTCTGTGGTGTAATTCAAATCCCTGGCTGCCCGCCTCCCCCCTCCCCCCCCGCCCCGCCCCGCCGAGGGCCAGGGAGGGGATCAGTTTCCTCGGGCTCCTGGGAAGGCCAGGCCACCTGTAGGTCCGAGGGGCTCGTGGCTAACCCATCCCCCCACCCCCCTCCCCTCTAGAACCCTCAGTTGGTTTTTCAGAGTCCATCGTCTCTCATGGTTCGTCTCCCCCTCCGACTTACTCCCCTTCATTCTTCCCCTAGGACAGGCAGGTTTTATTTGCAGCATGAGGGAGGGAGGTTAGAGAGTGTCCCTGAAACCTGGAGGCTGGCCCCAGGTTGACCCCAGAGGTGCCGCACCCCAGCACTTTCTGCTCTCTCAGTGTGTCCTGCCCGCTGTTCTTCCAGCTGCTGCCTTGGCGTCTGGCCTCTCCACTGTCAACGACCTCGTGGCAGTGCCCACCTGGGAAGGAGCCCAACCTGGTGAGCTTGCCCTGCCCATCTGCCCTGTCCTAGGAAGACTGCTGAGGACCAGGGGCGCATGTTCCCGACCTGGCTTCCCAGGGACCTGAGGCCTGGCTTTGTTCTCACCCTTTCCCTCCCACAGGACCTGGGGCAGGGCACATTGTGCAGGTCCTGTCCCCCTGGCACTTTCTCTGCTTCATGGGGCCCCGGCCCGTGCCAGGCCCACTCCCGCTGCAGCCCTCGAGGGAGGCTGGAGGCCCAGGCAGGCACAGCGACTCAAGACACACTATGTGGAGACTGCCAGCCTGGGTGAGCCATGGGGTGGGGCTTGAGGACTCGTGGCTAGCTGACTAGGACTTTGGGTCCTGGGGTCCCAGCCTCACTCACCCACCCCCGAGCAGGCCTCAGTCTTCCCGTCTGCGAAATGGGATGGGTCAGGACCAGTGAGTGTGCCTGGCAGGAGCCTCTCTTAAGGATAGTTTTTGGGCCTCAGTGATGTCTCCTCTCCCTGCAGGTGGGTTGCCACTTCGGGGGTCCCCCATGTCCCCTGTCAGCCATGCTCCTGGACACCTCTGGGTACTCGCAGCTGCTCTGGTGAGTGAGCGATGGGGGCTAGGACTGGTGAGGGTGTGTATAGGAGGGGATCCAGTGAGCTGGAGCCCAGGGACCCCCACGGTGTCCATCCGGGACAGTGGGGCCCTCAACCCTGAGCCCGGGGAAGGGTATGCGCAGCCAGAGGGTGTCCGGCAGGATGTGATCGGTTGTCCCACTGGCAGTGTGTCTGCTCACGTTGTTTCTGAGTGGCAGAGACCATTTAGCAGGTGGCGGCCACAGCTCGGGGGTCAGGGGCGCTGAGGGGCTCCCACCCTTCCCATCTCCTGCCCTCATCCCCTCAGACACGTGCAGGTGCGTGTGAGCGCACACACCTCTCACTGTCGTCAGTCGCCTTCTGAGGCGGCTCCCTCATGGACCCAGTCATGGGGACGCGGCCGCCGGGGCCCGTGTGCCCAGCCATGTGCTTGTGAGCTGTCTGTTCACCCCAGAGTGAGGCGGATGGACCACGGGGCTCAGGGCCTGGCTGTCCGAATGGACACCGCGGGGGTCCCTGGGAGGTCTGGGGAGGTCTGGGAGGCCGTGCTCCGGCTCACTGATGAGATGGCCCAAAACACGCGCTGGCGGGGAGCTGGCCGCCGCCTCCCAAGCCTGGTGGAAAGTGGGCGGTCGGTGGCTCCCACACCTTAGTGCCCCATTGCCCCCCTTAACTCAGGCCCTGGGCCTCTCTGCCTTCGTCTTTCCTCCATGCCTCCATCCTCTGCGGTGCTCAGAGCGGGGACGGCGGGCCCGACGTGGCGTGGAGGTAGCAGCAGGGGCCACCCGCGCTGGGGACACGCGGCGGCCTGGGAATGGCACCCGGGCCGGCGGCCCCGAGGAGACGGCGGCCCAGTACGCGGTCATTGCCATCGTGCCTGTCTTCTGCCTCATGGGGCTGCTGGGCATCCTGGTGTGTAACCTGCTCAAGCGGAAGGGCTACCACTGCACGGCCCACAAGGAGGTCGGGCCCGGCCCTGGAGGTGGAGGCAGCGGTGAGGCCTGGCCTGGCGTCTGGGTGGGGAGGCCAGAGGGCACGGACGAGCCCAGCCCAGCTCGGCTTGGGGGGCGGGGTGCTGCGCCAGGGAACCTGTTGGCCTAGAGGGTCTGACGGGGAGGGGCCTGCAGAGGGCTAACCGGGAGGGCTTCCTGGAGGCGCAGCATGCGGGCTGAGGACACTGCGGCCCTGTCCTGGGAGGTTCTGAAGGCTTCCTGGAGGAGGTAGAGCTGCAGCTGGGCCCATAAGGATCAAGGACCCTACAGAGTGACACCGTGGAATGAGAGGTGAAGTGGCCTGAGGTGGCGACAGGGGCAGAGCAGAAGTCAAGTGGCTTCGGCATGATTCTCACCCTGGGTGAGGCCCTGCCCAGCTGTAGGGGCCTGGACTCCACGGGGGCTGCAGTTGTGTGTATGTGGTTCAAGGGTTGGAACGCTTTCTGGGAACTCAAGCTGACCTCTGACCTGAGCCACCGGCAGGGCAGTTGGGCTTGGCAGGCCCCACGAGGGGCTCGGGTTTCAGGTCCAGGCTGTGGTTTGAGTTAGGAGTCCTGGAACCAGAGGGAGAGATGTGTTCCTCGCAACCCTGCCCCAGGGCCCTGGGCCCCTTTTCTCCTCCGCACCCCCCACCCCCAGGGCCCTTGAAGGCCGGTAGGGCCAGGGTCCCCAGTGCGCATACACAACCCAGCGAGCCTTGTGGCCAAGTCAGGATTGAAATGGTGCTTCCCATGCCTGTGCCCCAGGCTGCCTGGAGCTGGCCAGAGCCCTTCCCACCTCCTGACACTGCAGTCTAGAGGGGGCTGGAAGACGGCAGCTCAGGCCATTTTACCCGGGGCCGCACTTGTTTTCCTAGCCTAGGTCTTCCTTTAACTGCTGGCTGCTGCCTGGGTGCAAGGTCTAGGAGCTGTTTGCTGCGGGCCTTGGATTGGTCACGTGGCTCATTCTCATGCTCTTGAGGTTTGGGCCCTAATGGCCCTCAGTTATGTGGACAGGGTGGTGTGCAGGGAAATGTGAGAAGCCTGGAATGGCAGAATTTGCCTGAGTTGTTGGGGGGTCTGGGCAGAAAGTCCACAGCTCCCTGAAGCTGTGGAGGGGAGACAACAGGCCCCAGAAAAGCCTGCCCCCTCTCAACTCTGCAGGGAGCAGTGATAATGAGCTGAGGCCTGGGGGGCCCCCAGTGCAGAAACACCCAGGCTTGCAGCACAACTCGTCGGGAGGCCTGGGGTGCCTTCTGCTGCCACATCTCGGTGTAGCTGTCAAGCCCGGAGTCTCCCCCAGTGAACTCCTCCTCCCCCCCAGGATCACAGTTCTCGCTTTTTTTTCCACAGGGATCAACCCCCCCTACAGGGCTGAAGATGCCAACGAGGACACCATTGGGGTCCTGGTCCGCCTGATCACAGAGAAGAAAGGTGAGGGGAAGGTCGGGCCCTAAGGCCAAGCCCAGGCGAGGATGGTCTCCTCCCAGAGCCTGAGGCAGCCGTCGGGGTCAGAGTCCCACCCTGCTCTGCCCCTTTTCTTCTTGTTCTTGCCTGATGAGAGGTGGAGGGAGAGGTGCTAGGCCCCGGCTGGGGCGGGGGTGGAGGGCATCGGGAGCCCTTCCCGCCCCCCCCCACCCCCCGCCACCCCGGCCCGGAGCCGGGTTCTGACGGCCGCTGCCCACAGAGAATGCTGCGGCCCTGGAGGAGCTGCTGAAGGAGTATCACAGCAAACAGCTGGTGCAGACCAGCCACAGGCCTGTGCCCAGGTGAGTGCACAGGTGCCCCAAACCCATACAGAATCAGCCTGCTTCCTGGGGGAGTCACCACTCGGGTGTGTTCACGTTACCCTGAGTGCCCTTCGCTACCGCCTGGGACCCCCCTGGCACGGGCCTGCCCTGGTGACCGTGCCCACCTGTGCCCTGTGCAGGCTGCCGCCGGGCCCCCCCAGCACGCCACACATCTGCCCGCATCGCCACCACCTCCACACCGTGCAGGGCCTGGCCTCGCTCTCCGGCCCCTGCTGCTCCCGCTGTAGCCAGAAGAAGTGGCCTGAGGTGCTGCTGTCCCCTGAGGCCGCAGCTGCTGCTGCCCCCACTCCCCGACTCCTGCCCAACCCGGCCAGGGCTCCCAAGGCGGGGGCCAAGGCAGGACGCCAGGGCGAGATCACCATCTTGTCTGTGGGCAGGTGAGATGGGCAGAGACGCAGGAGGGTCAGGGAGAGACATTATAGCCAGGGTGGGGGAGACGGGGCCCTATGGCTCAAATGAGCCCTGAACAGCCCGTTCAGGGATGCCCCTCTCTGGGCAGAAGGGGGGTGGGGTGGTCAGGGAGATGTCAGGTCTTCCCAGCTCTGCTGTGTCTCACACGAGCCCTTGGGCCCCAGCGCATGGTCCTGGCCTCCATCACACCTTGGAGCCCTCAGGCCAAAGGACTGTTTGCCTACAACCTAGGGCTGGGGGTGGCTGGGGGCTCATCTGTGGGTAGGAGGATATAGGATGGGCTCAGGCTCTGACCCATGAACTTGGTGTAGGACCCTAGCATGCGCTGCCCTTTCAATACCCAGGGTTTCCTCTTTAATGGGGGGATCATTGCACCACCACTCCTCACAGGTTCCGAGTGGCCCGAATTCCGGAGCAGCGGTCAAGTTCAGCAGCCTCTGAGGTGAAGACTATCACGGAGGCTGGGCCCTCGGGGGGTGACCTCCCTGATTCCCCACAACCCGGTCTCCCCACTGAGCAGCGGGCCCTGCTGGCAAGTGGTGGAAGCCATGCTAAGTGGCTGAAGCCCCCGGCAGAGAACAAGGCTGAGGTGAGGCCCAGAGGGGGGCGAGTATCTGTTGACACTTGGACGAACCCGGACTTGCGGATGGGGTAGGGTTGGAGGTACAGGGAGCCCTGGGTAGGGGCCGCTTTCCTGGAGCCCAGAAGCCCCCTGACTCAGCTCTGACCCCTCACTTCCGTCGCCCAGGAGAACCGCTACGTGGTCCGGCTAAGTGAGAGCAACCTGGTTATCTGATGGTCTGCCTCAGCTGAGGACACTGCGGCCCTGTCCTGGGAGGTTCTGAAGGCTTCCTGGAGGAGGTAGAGCTGCAGCTGGGCCCATAAGGATCAAGAAGCAATGGTCCAGCAGACAGAAGAGCAAAGGCCAAGGCCTGGAGGTGGGAGTGTCTGCCCCCGTGCAGAGGCCAGTGCTGGTGGGTGCTGCGTGCAGGAGCAGGTTGAGAGCCCCTCTCCTGCCCCTGTGCCCTGCCCTGATCCTAGGACCCTGCAGGATCCTCTGAACCAGGTGGCTAGGCCTTGGCAGTGCGGAGGGGCCCTCTGCCTGGCACCCCGGCCCCACACCTTGGTATTCTACTGCCCCCGCCCTCTGTACAGGGCCCTAGCGTGGACCTCTCCCTCCTCTTCCAGTGGCCCCATGAAGGGAAGAGGCAACAAAAAGCGGTGGGCTGGAGACTGAGTTCCCTGGTTCTGACCGTGGGCAAGTCCCTGGCCATCACCTGGTTACCGTCCTTCTGACCGTGAAGTGGGGAGAGAAAGGGGTCTCGGGGCCCAGGGCTTCTCTGGTTCCTTGCAGGCTCTGGCCTGGGTCGTGTGCGGGGAGAGCTTGACTCCTTGCCACCCCTCCCATTAGTAGCTTTATCTATGGCCCCATTTTTGCGGCTTCCAGGGCCTGTGCCTTCAGGCCCCCATGGGGCTGCCCATCCCTGGCTCTGCCTACGGAAGGGGCTTAATGCATGTATCTGCCCCCCTCCCTATTTTTATTGAAATTGGAACCACAGTCTTGACCTGGGTAGGGCTGTGATACAGGGTGCCAGCCTGCATAGCCACCCCAAGATCTCAGGAGCATTCAGGGAGAGGGGTGTGTGCGGGGCTGGAGAGGCACCTCTGGCCTCAGTGGTTTGTGTGTCCCTGTGGTGTTGGTGTCTGTCCCCCAGCTGGTCAGTGCGGGCGACTGCCCAGCCCAGCTCCTATGTCCACTCTAGCCCAGTGACCTGGTTATTTATGTGGGGCCATGCAGGCATGGGCCCCACTGCCATCCCCATTTCTCTTATTTATTGAAAATTTGCTGTTGTCCTGTCCTTGTCTACATTCCCATCCATTTATTGGATAATAAAAGGTGGGAAAGTGGTGTCATGAGGAGCTTCTTTCCCTGTGCCTTTTCCCAGGTTGTCCGTCCGTTCACCAAATACCTCTGTGTCAGGTACCGTGTGGGGGACAGGCCATCCCTCCCCTTGCAGGGCCGGCTCTGTAGCGGGCGGACATGGGGCAGCAGAAGTGGGGAGGCCCCTCACCTCACTGGGTTCTCACTGAAGCCCCTAGAAGCAGTGCTGTCCAAAGGAAATACAGTACATACCATGTATGTAATTTAAAATTTCCTAATAGCCACATTTTAAACAGTATTAAAAAAAGATGAGAGTATCAATAACGTATTAAGCCAGTGTTTCTAAAATATTTTCATTTCAATATAAAGTCAGTAAAACATTATGAATGAGCCATTAATTTTTTTGCTTTGAAATCTGGTATTTTATACTTAAAGCACATCTTAATATGCACTAGCATATTGAAGGCTCCGTAGCCACATGTGGCTAGTGGCTCCTGTCTTGGACAGCACAGCTCTAGAGGACGTGGAGCCTGGAAGATGGATGGGTAAGTAAGATACATCGGGGGCTGGAGAATGTGGGAAGGGGAGCATGGTCCCCAGAGAGGGCAGAGCATGTGCAGAGGCCCGGGGGCACCACAAGGAACTGGAGAAGCTGTAAGTGGAAGGGGACAGCTGTGGGGACTAGAGTGGGGGTGGGCACCAGAAGGCAGCCCCACGCGCTCTTGGAAGCCCTTAGGCCAGGGAGGGCAGGGAACCTCTTAAGGCATTTAGGAAGGGGAAAAGCAGGGCTGGTCAGCTTGCTCTTGGCCACGGTGTGGAGGAGGGAGCAGGAGTTCTGCAAGGAATCTGTTGCAGCTGTCCAGGCAAGAGATGGTGGAGGCTGGGCTGTGTGGGCGTGACGGGTGGGGGGAATCCAAGAGACTCCTCTAAGACGGAACTGCTAGGGCTTGGTAAAGGGATGTGGGTCAAAGGATTAGGGACAGCTGTGATACAGCCCCCACCGCATCTGGAGGTGAAGGCCTGGAGTGCTCAAGACCGATCTGGGCTACGAGAATATCTAGAAGCACTTAAGTGGGATTTGGACCAGGACTGGCCCAGGAAGAGGGCTCAGGGCAGACCCTTCGGCGGTTCCAGGGGCACTGCCAAGAGGTGGGAAGGAGACCAGGGGAGAGGTGTCCTGCAAAGCGAGGGAAGGAGAGTGAAGGGCAGGGTAGGTCACAAGGCCAGGGGTCGCCACGGGGTCAGGACTGCTGCAGCCCCTGGTTAATGGACATGGAGACATGGTGAGAGCAGGACCAGGTCTCAGTGGATTGAGCTCCCTGCAGAAGCCAGACTGTGCCAGGTAATAGCTGGTGGAGACTCAGGCTCCAGGGAGAGAAGAATTTTAGTTAATTCTGGGTTCTCTGGGTATTTGGTGTATTTTTTAAAGAAGGAAGGAGACATTTAAATGTTAATGGGAGAGTCCCAAAGAGAGGCTGAAGAACCAGCTACTGATGCTTGCGCGAGCCTGGGGAGGTGTGGAAGCCTGGGGGAGGTCTAGGCCTGCTGCAGCTGGGGGAGGGCGGCTGTCAGGCTGGGCCTACAAGAGGCCCAGCTCACTCTCTTGTCCTTGCTGCTCCCGCTGTAGCCAGAAGTGGCCCGAGGTGCTGTCCCCTGAGGCCACGGCTGCTGCTGCCCCCACCCCCCAACTGCCGCCCAACCCGGCCAGGGCTCCCCAAGGCTGGGGCCATGGCAGGACGCCAGGGTGAGAGGACCATCTTGTCCGTGGGCAGAGGCCTTCCTCCTGTATGGAAGCCATGGGCAGGGGTCTGGCGCAGCAGCAGCACAGAAAACTCCAGCCCAGAGAAGCTGGGCAGCTGTGCCTTGAGATTTGCTCTGTCCCTGCCTCTTGGCTGTCCAGGACACAGTCTTCTCTCTCTCTCAGGCTTCTGAGATGTGCAGGAAAGGGAGGGCACGTCTTAGGGCCTAGGCAGCAAAGCTTTACCTGCTCTAGGGAAGAGGAGGAAAGGAGGCAAGCTGCACATCAGGAGGAATTTTCTGGAGCATGAAAGGTTGCCAAAGTCTAGAACAGGGGTCTGTTGTAGGGGACTAGTGGGCATCATTAGCACTTTTAAGGAAATGTTCCCTTGCACTGCCAGGGTCCACTTGGTGTCCCTCTTTGTCAACTGTTAGCTGCATCTTGGGGTTTGGTTTCTCAAACTTGGCTGTCCCCTCAGCCAACCAACCCCACTTCACCCAGGACTTGGATGACACACCAAGATGATGAGACAGCAAGAGCCAGTACCCTGGGTGGATAGGGTGGGAGGTGGTCCCTCCCATTCTCCAGCCTCCTTTCCCAGGGGAAGGCTGGACTGTGGACTCCAAATGCCATCTTGGTGTGGAGACTAAGGCTGGGTCTGGGCTTCCCAGGCCAGGTAAGAGATACCCCCACCATGGTGCTGGCCCCTGGGGTAATAAGCACAGCTCCCCTCCAGCACCACCACCCCCACCCCTCTTGGTCTGTTTGTTGGAAGGTAAAACTAGGACTCTGGCCTAAATTTCTTCACCTGTCCCTTGGGGCCAGCTCCCAAAAGGATGGGATGAGTTGCTGAGGGATCAGGTAGAGGTATATCCAACGCCCTTGGAGGCCTTCAGGGCCCCCATAACTCATCTGGAAGTTTTCCTGGCCTGTCCCCTCCTAGGCTTGCCCCCTCTGAATCTTGGCAGTCCTGGGAGCTGGAGGACAAGCTGGGGCACTGGGCTGAGGGGAGTTCTGAGTTTGACCTCTCCCTACTCCACCTGTCGCCCCAGGGACCAGACGAGTGAGGATGGGGGCCCAGATCTCCACCTCTCTGCCTGCTCCTGGCCCTCAGTCCTACCACTGTGACCTGGAGTTGAGTCCCTGGGGAAAATCCCTTTCCTGCCCTGGAGAAACTGCTATTGACACAGCCCGACCAAGTCTGTGGCCAGAGGTACCCTCCTCTCCAACATCTGATAGAGCTTTCCAGTGTGCAAGGGAGGGAGAATGAGTTCCCTGTCAGGTGAGGACAGGAGGGGAAACTGGGGGGGCATGCTGCAAAGGCACAGGGCACGGGGTGGCAGAAAAGGAGAGTTTAGGAGTCCTGAATTGTAATTATAGCTCTAGTGGGGGCCAGGTCAGTGGGGCCTCCATTTTCTCTCCAGTTGAGGAGGTTGAACACTTACAGGCTGGGAGAGCATGGTGGCCACAATGACCAGGAAAAGCATGGGCTTGGACTAGGGCAGTTGCTTTGCCCAGATGGGAGAGGAGGAAGAGATTCAGGATAGAAACTGACAGCATGTGACTATTTGGATGGAGACCACCTGACTTCCCTTGACTGTCATTCTGTGACTACAAACCTGTAAGCTCTTCCCTTGGTTTTCCACCTGACAAATTCACCTTTTAACTAAACACAGACACTGCCACCTCTAAGGTGGGCAGAATGTGGGACTCAGTGCCTGGGCTGTGGAGCTAGACTAAGTGTGAGCTCCACCCCTGAACCTTGAGCTCCAAGCTCTGTGACCTTGGCCAAGTTACTCTCCGGCTGCACCCTCTCGACCGGCTCACCTCCCATTGGGCTGTGAGGATTAGGAGAGTTACCCAACATAAAGCACAGTGCTGGCCCCATGGTAGGCCCTCGGCAGACGGCAGCCCTCATCATTCGTGGCCCCTGAGGGCTCGTGTATCACCCACCTTAATCCAGGTGCTGATGGCCACTTCCCAGGCCCCTCAGCTGAATCCCAGGGAAGCCCTGCTACGCCTGCGGGGAGATGCACCATAGGTGTTACCTGACTGGTGAAAACAAGTTCAGAATGAGCTTGGGAAGAAACCGAGGGAATTCACTGGCCTAAGCGGTGGTCTGTGTCTCCCTGCCCCAAGAACCACCAGTCTGGTCACCCCGGACTTTTCCAAAAAAGTTTTTGGAAACTTTTTTTAATAGTTATTGAATGTTCTACAGCTTACAGTAAATATCATAGTTACAAATTCTTGGCTTCAATCTTTCAGAGTGATCACTATCTGATCTTCAAAATAAAATGAAACAAAAACCCAAAAGAATCCAAAACAACAAAACAAAACCAGATTTACACTTCATACACACAAGGCGAGGCCATGGGACTTTCCAATCTTTACACTCCAGGCTGTTTTGAAAACACTTATAAGTTCTTTGATCAAACTACTTGGAAGACACCGGTCAAAGGTTTATTATTATTTTAAATGTTTTTCTTTTTTAAAATGTGAGTTCCAATAAAATTTAAAAATTAGATTCCAACCTGTAGATTAAAATTAATTAAAAAATACAAAATCATATACAATGCTCTTACAGGGATGTTACATGCCACAAGAACAGGTTTCTCTGTCATGTGATATGAAATAGGGATGCAATGCCTTTTAGTCAGGAGATGGGGACAGACCCTTGGGCCTTTAAAGGTCATTATAGACAACTTCCAAGTTGCTAGAGGCCTGGCCTTACCTCCCCGGGGTAAGGAGGAGCTGGAGTCCCCTCACAGATCCACATGATCTGGCTGACCCGAGAAGGTGGTCTGTGGGCATTCCCACTCTCTCCCTGACTCACAGGCATGAGGAGGAAGGCTAGAGCCTCGAGCTGCTGGTCTTGCTGGGGTCCGGCCCAAAGAGGATTTCACCCATCTGACTCCTATGGGCTGGTACTTATCTGCAAAGCTGTTACTATCTGTTCTCTTCAGGAAAGAGAGTACCCACTTTACCAGGAGCTGGGATGGGTACAGGGCCCCACCACCGCAACATGAATGCCCAGGGACTATGGATGCAGCCACGGGAAACAAGAGCTCTAGTTTCCCTTTCTGGCTTTGTGGCGGCCAGTCCCAACCCCTGTGTTCCTCACTTGGCCACTGGGCTGGACTCAACAGCACGCAAGATAGAAAACCACCACTGGAGAAACTGAGGGAATGGGGCCCAAGTCTGGCTCAGGCAAGGTTGGCTATGGAATGTTGAAGCTGGCCTGCCAGGCAGGAATTTTGAAGGCTGGGCCCTGGAACCATGTAATACATAACTTCAGAAACAAGTCTTCTAGGTGAGGGGAACACAGGTAAAGGACTGTAGTCAACCTGGCATAACCATGGGAGCCTGATCTCGGAGGCTCAGGTATGGAATCTGATGGTTAGCCTGGCTGGGTTTCCTCTGCTGTGATCCTGCTGTTGGGTGGGGCCTGGCTTCCCCTGGGGCTATGCACCTGCTGGGAGCCCGCTCCGCTGCCTGATCTGCCCCTCTCTGAACCTTGGCAAGCAGATGGGGCCGCATACTGTAGTGATGTGGTAGAATACAGGATGGACAAGCAGAGCTTCCATGTATCTTCACTCAACTGCAACGGAGGAATGCCACAGTGACATCTAAGTGATTAATCCAGCCAAAGTGCTATATAACTACGACCACACAAAGACCAAGACCCATGCCCTCCAGGCCTTCCTTCTCTGGCCATGGAGCAGAGACAAGGATTCTGATATGCAGGGCTCCAGGCTTGGCGACCAAGGGGCCTGCCCTATTTTTATGCTCTATGTGATTCATTTCTGAATGCCACTCAGAACAAAGCAAACCCTCCAAAGGAGCACCCCCTAGCTCTCTGGGATGGTAAACCTCAAACTTGGAACAGTTTGGGTGGCCAGGGGTAAGAGCTGGGATACAGCAAGAACTCTTTGGTCCTGGTTCTCATCCATGGGAAAAGCAAGCCCAGGCATTGAAGTCAGATGTGCTTTTGGCCATTCAGGGCCATACCACGTCCCCTGGGAGTGCCAACTCACTGGGTGCAGACAGTGGGCAGGCTTTCCAGGGCCATGGGTCTTTCAATGAACAGATACCTGGGGCTGCCCTTGAATTTGGCTTCAGTCCTAGGCATCATGACCCCAAAGTGTTTTGTTCAAGTTAGGTCTTTTGTTGCCAATTCTCATCCTCCTGATGCTGCCAGGGTCCTCAGGGCCCACCCGTTATAAAAATCTCAGCTGGGAGAACTGAGCTCCCCAGGTCTCTTGGGAGTCTTCCTCTGTTTGGGGCAGACAGATAGCTCACCCCTTCTTCATACCTGCCACTGGAGACCCAGCAGGTGATAGATGCCAACTGAAAGAGCAGAGGATTTGAAGAGTTCACATCTGGGCTCTTTCTCTTAATTGTATGAATTTGTCAAGTTTCTTAAGCGTTTTTTTTTTTTTTTTTTTTTTTTTTTAATAAGCTCTAGGCCCAACATAGCGCTTGAACTCATGACCCCGAGATCAAGAGTCACATGCTTTACTGACCAAGCCAGCCAGGTGCCCCAAGTCTCCTAAGCCTTTTGAGACTTAGTTTTTTCCATCTATAAAGTGAGGATTTGGCAATCAATGTCAAAGTACTTTGTACATTAAAAAAACTGTGGGTAGGTGTATGTGGCCTTGTTCAATATTTAGCTAAGGGGATATACACTTTAGGGTTACTGCCAAGAGAGAAGAGCTGTAGCAATTGTCCTGTCTCAGGAAAAGATTAAGTTTTTTCAAAAAGTGGCAAAAAAGTTATGTTCTGACCACTTGGGGGCACTCCAGAACCAGATTCCTGGGCCCTAGGCTACCGAGGAGAGGGAGTCAAGGAGAAGCTGGGGAAGCCAAGAGGGCTGACTATTGCCTGGAACCACCTGTGCCCCTAAGCCTGGCCACCAAGCTTGTGGTACTGGGGTGGGGGGGCGGGGAGGCAGTGGAGTGGAGAGGCGTTTGCATGCTGGTGCCAGCTTTGTAGCTCACTATGTCCTGTGGGCACAACCCTCGTCCTCTGGCTTGCTGGCCTTCCTACAGTGACCAGGCCATTCTGGCTGACCTTCTGTCCAGCTTTACCACTGGGTCATCCAGTATCTTTGGATGCCACCCAGGAGACACCTATGATCCTACTGGGAATGTTCCTTCTGCCCAAGGCACACTACTGCCCCTGCTCTCCTGGACTTGTTCCCTTTGCGATGACTCCCCAAGCTTGGCTAGGCTTGTGGATCTCTGTCAAAGCAAGAGGGGGAGGCCAGAAGAACTGGGGCTCCAGCACATATACTGAAAAAGGGGTGCTGGACTTGGGCTCTTCCAGACCATAGCCCCTCTGCACCTTGTTTTTGCCTCGGGGCCTGTCTCTGATCTGGAATTACATTCTAGGGCAAAGAGGGGGTGCAGAGCATAGAAGCTTCAGTCCACAAGCCTGTGTGTGGAGTCACACTGGAGGGAAAGTGGACAAACTGGGATTCAGGTGACTTTGCCGCTGATGAGCAAGTCCCTTTGCCTTCCCAAGTCACCGTGTCCCCATGGATCAAATGGGAGGAATACTCTATTTCACAGGGTTAAGCCAGATGAGTGGATGTGAAACTGCTTTGTGAATTGTGATGTACTAGATGTTAGTTTTTACTTACTGGTATAGAAAGAACAAAATTCCTAGGTCTCCTCTCTCGCTCCTCTCTGTGGTTCTACCCAGCCCCTAGAGGCAGCAAGGTTCAGAGAAGCCTATTAAGATACTAGCATTCCGCTCACATTGGCAAGTTCCCTTTCCTTCTAGAACCAGTTTCCTCATTTGTTCGATGGGTGCAAGAACTCTGACCCCGCCTCTCTCTCTCAGGGCCAGTAAATTAAAGGCTGGGAAGCGCTCTGAATCTATGGAGCACCTGACAAATGCAAAGGTTTCCTATTATCATTAGTATTATTTTGGCATTTTCCAAACACATATGACATAATCTAGAACAACCTTCACCCACCCTTAAAAACCAGAGAGTAGGAGGAGGTATTTGCAAAAAATGGATTAACACTGGAAAACTGTTGTTTTAAAAAGAAACCCCATCAGCACCCTAGAACAGACCATTTAGAATAGTTAGGGTTCTCCTTACTGGTCCTGCAGTTCCCCGGAAGGCCAAGAAGGTGGGTCCCCCAACTCCTGGCTCTCAGTTGGATGCTGTTGGGCTCTGCCCTCCTGGGAATGGCCAGACAGCCTCTGAGGTCCTTCTGGCTCAAGTTTCCTGATTTTTTCCTCCTTTAAGGGAGACATGGGAGGTAGGGGTAGGGGTGTATCCAAGTATGCGTGAATTTAAAATCAAAAGGGTTATTTAAAAGTCCCAAATGTTGTCGATCCCATTTTGTACAGTAAAATGTTCCTGCACCCCTCTACCCCTAGAGGGGCTGCTGGCCCAGCCAGAAGCTGGGTGCAGGGGACAGCGCTGGGACAGTGGGCTCCTGGCTGAGGCCAGCCACGATTCCTGACTCGGGGGGTCGTCTTCTCCCAGGAGGGCCCCTGTCCCCTGGGCCTCATCCCTGTCCTCTCTTCTCAGGATGAGGGGCTACTGTCCTAAAAGCATAGATTCTCCTTCTCAGCCAGCCCACTTGCTCCTTCTAGGGCTGGAGTCCGGTATAAAATGAAAGTTCCCGATGTCTTCACAGAATTTCCAAATGCTATTTCCTCATTTGCAATTTCTGTTCCTGCCATCTGCCCCCATGTGACCTCTGCCCAGTCTTCAACCCCCTCCTTTGGAATCCATGGAGGAAAAGAGCAGAAACCAAAGCCCAGAGACTGTTCCAGAGTTCACCAGGTGTGGGTGCTGCTGACTTAATTTTTACAAAACCAAGCTACTCCATCCCTAGGTAAATTTTTGTGGATAACATGCCCCTAGGTAGGAAGGCTGCATTTAATGCTAATTTACTGCTAGATCTAGGGAAGTCCTTTTGTCTTCTCTGGGCCTCAGCTTCCTCATCAATCAAACAGGGGAATGGATGAGATGATTGCTAAGGTCCCTTCAGTTCCATGAGTCTATGAAATGTTTATTGCTATTGCTTTTCCTTCACTATCCTGACCTTCAGAGCTGCCAGCACCCACCTAGAATGTGGTTCCTTCACTTTGGCCGTGAATGGCACAAGGTAACCAAGAGCCCCATGGACAGACTGGTGAGCCCTGGCACCGGGAAGGGCAGAGGGAAGGGAGAGAAAATGCCATAGGTTCCCACTCTAATCAGGAGGAAGCATCTTATCAGAGTGGGTCCACTGGGCTCAGGGGCCAAGGTCTGGATTACATAGGGCACCTGGCCTTCCAAGGCTTTGGGAGGCTGGGATACCATCACCCTGAAGCTGCTTGGCAGGTCTGAGGTCAAAATTACCTTTTGAGGAAGTGCCAGGTCAGTTAACAACACTGTGCAAATCAGAGGGTCCAGGCCCAATTTGGCCAGAGACCTTACAAACCGAAGCCAGCAGGCAAGCCCCTCTCCCCTCTTTCTTCCCACAGTGCCCTCCCTCCTCCCCACCCTCCCTCAAGTTCTCCCAAGGAAAGAATCTGGTTTTCCCAGGTTCTCACCTGGGGTATTAAGCTGCTATGAACACTCCTACCTAATCAGGTGATTCTGTTCTTGGTCTGTTGCGATGGTTCTCAGAAGACTTTCCTTTGTGTCAGGACATGGTCATGTCCCCAACCAATCTTGCTTAGGAAAAATAAAGAAATAATCCCCCAGAGATGTAAGTTGCTCGACAGCTCTGAGTTTCTACCCTGGACCTGAGGGCCACATGTGTTATGCTCTTCAAAGGAAATCACATCTTCAGCTGAACCATTGCAATAAACCCCCCTCTCTGCCTGCCACTAGACTGGGGTCCCCGGGGACCAGATGCTTGGGGAAGGGGCGAAGAAGAGCAGAGAGGATGTGCCTGGTCAGAAGGAGGGGACAGAGCTGGAAGGGTAGCGGCTAAGAAGGGGACAGTGGGGAGAGGCAGGAGATTAGAAAAAGCAGCTTTTACAAAAACCAAAAATAAAAACCAAAACCGTTAAAGATGCATAAAGTGACCCTTGCACTTCTGTTGTCTCTTCTTGCAAATAGAGGTGGTGCTGCTAGGGGACTGCTCCAGCACCTGTGTAAGACTTGAGTAGTTGCATACAATGTGTGACTCCAGATCTGAGGAAGGAAGGGGAGAGCCATTAGTGACAATGATATTCCTGAGGCCATTTCAGGAAGCCACCAGATCCCCTCCCCTCCCCTCCCCTCCCCGTGGGAGCCCTACAAGGGGCCCTCTGGGCCTTCCTGGTGGAGCTGCCTGCCTCCCGTCCAGTGCCAAGAGCTCCTGGAGGAGGTGGAGGGCAGGGGAGATCAGAAGGGAAGGCAGAGAATTCAACAGTGACATCCCTGGAGCCCTGCGGTTCACTGACTCTGCCTTGGGAGCTGCGGGGGTGCGGGGGGGCAGTGGCCCAAAGTCTCCATCTGATTAAGGTAAGAATTCATTTGAAGAATGAGGCCCAGAGCTAAAGGAAGGCTGAAGACTGTAGGTGAAGAGCACAGAACTCAGTACTAGAGGACTGGAGTCCTACTGGTTAAGTGATGTTGAACTTTGTATTTATCTGTAAAATAGACCTAATAATCCTCATTTCACTGGGCTACCATAATAAGGATTATGAGAGAACACATGTAAAGTACCTAGAATATATGTAAAGTCACAGCTGTCCTTAAGAGTGCTATTACTGAACTTGGGAGCAGGAAAGCAGCTGGTGACGGTCACTGGCCCCTGCTGACACTTGTGCTGCAGACCAGGCCAGGGGCTTTGCTAGGGGCAGTCCTGGTATCCGGCCATCCTCCTACCTCTCCCAGCCCGGGCCCCACTCACTTGGATGGGCTGCAGGCTTTACCAGTGCGGGGGCACATAGCTGTACGCGGGGGTCCCTTGGGCCCTGTACGTTGGCATGGAGACAGGGTGTGCCCCGATCGCGGTGTGCTGGGGTGCGGTCAGCAGGGTACCTGAGCATCCAGAGAGAAGAGTAAATCCAATGAAGCCGTCCCAGGGCACTGGGATGAGGAGGATGAAGCCATGGCCTTTCACACAGCTGCTCCTCAACCTGGGCCCCCCACCTCCCCACCGGCTCACGAACTGCCCGCCCCTCCCACCTTGCCAGGCTTCATCTCCGTAGGGAAAGTTTTGCTGATGCTCCAGGACAGAGGCACTCACTCATCTTCAGTGGCCTCCTTTTACTCTTCTTTGTATGCTCCTCCTACTCTACCAAGTGGAAACTGTTGGTCTGTATGGTTGTACTTACCCTAGCCCGGCTGTTCCTAAAGGCAGGGCTCTGATCTATCAGTAACTGGTCCCCAGGACCAGAACAAGGCTGACACCAAGCAGATCACTGAGAGCTTACTGACCTGATCTGGGGAATGAGGCCTCAACAACCCCTTACATTAGGGGCAGAATAAAATCCCAACTCCCGCCTCCCACCCACTAGACCCCTTGTACTCTCTTCCCTCAAAGGATTCTGTAAAAGCTGGGTCTTCTAAAGGTTATTCGTAGCCCTCTTGCCCTCTCATGCTCTTCTTTTGAATGTCAGCGCATCCAGAGACTTCCCTTCCCTGCTATTCCTGTGGTGTCTCCACCCCAATCCTCAAGATTCCAGATGGACAGGGCTCTGGTGTGATTTTTAGAATAAGCCAGAAATGGAGAAGGGGTCCTCCATGCCTTACAAGTAATTACTGGACAGGGTCTTGAGCTCCTGCCTGCTAAATAACATTGCCTCACGCCCTCCTTTCTAGATCCAGAGTCCTAGTACCATCGTCCTTCCTCGAAACTACAGCCTCCCCACTGATCTACCTGCTTCCAGCCTCTCCCGTCTAACCATGCCTCAGCCCTGCAGCCAGAGAATGTTTAAACCGAACCCATCTCTCCTCGGCTTAAACCCCTTTGCCAGTTCCCCGTTACCTAAAGGTATTTGGGCCTCTCCACTTTAGCCTTGCTGACTGCTCCAGCCACCCTTCCAACTCCATGCCCCTATTTTCTAAGGGCCTCGGACCATTTCCATTCCGTGAACGTGCCATGCTCATGTTCTTTCCACCTGGACTGCTCTTCCCTCTTTCATCCCTCTGGTTAGCTTTTGTTCCCCCTTTAAGACCTAGCTCAAGATGTCCTTCTCAGTGAAATCTTCCTCATCCCTGTGGACAGGGTTCCCAGAACCCCCCGGCACAGAATTTCTCATGCTATGCTACACTTGATTCCACGACGGTATTCTCCAGCCTGTCATGAGTTTCTGGAGAAGGGGGACGGACACTGACACAGATCCTGCCCTCACCTGCTGACATTGCCATGGTGGTGCCAGCCACCATGCCCATGGCCACACCATTGGTCCTGGGGGCAGCAACAGGCGCCGGGTAGATGGCAGAGGGAATGCTGTTGGGCTGGACAACCGTGGTGTGGTGGATGACGTGGGGCTGGGCAGCGTACACCGGCTGTGTGTAGTAGGCTCCCTGGGCGAAAAAAGGCTGAGGTCAGACAGGCTCTTGGAGATGCAGGGTAGGATATGGAGAGAGGAGAAGGGAGGGGAGCCTGTTCCTCCCAGAGCCTGTGGGATGGGCTCAGAGGAGCACGGGCCCAGGGACTCGAGGTCTGGGCCCCAGCGGGGACTCTGCGTCTGTCCGACTACGTGACTGTGGACAGTTCAGTATCGGGTTCAGCTTCTGGCATGAAAAATAAGGCTCCAACCCTATCCTGCCTTGCTCCTGGGGCTGCTATGATGATCTAATGGGGTAACAGCCCTGATTTTAACATTTTAAAATGTTTATATCTTATTGCAGTGTGCTTCTGCAAGCTGCCTAAAATGTAAAGGCAGGGACCAGGGTCAGTGAAGGAAAAGATATGAATGTGGCTGGTGCATCCAGACCACTGTGTGCACGCACATGAAGCATTACTAGTGGGACGGTCACATTAGTGTGAGTACTGCCATCTCGCCTATTGGAAACTGTCACAAATGCAGAGCATTTCCTCAGATGTCTCTTACTATTTCTCTTAGGCAAAGAGGTAAGGATGGAGACAGAGGTCTAAGGTGACTTCCCACTGCCTAGATCACATGGCTGCTTCCTGTTGCCACAGCCCACAGGCCTGCTGACCTTTGTGGGGCACAGACACAGGCCCCTGGATCATCTTAATCCAGAACTTCTCAAATGCCTCTACTAACTACTGACAGGAGCCTCAGAATATGGGTTTATAATCCCAGAGGTCTGAGAACATAGTGCAAAGCAGCTTACCACAAACAAGAAAAATCCACCTCAAGCCTATTGTTTTATCTTTTAAAAGTTTCACATTCTAATCTACAGTGTGTTCTCCTCACTACTTAAGTAAACCTCACAAAGAATTGTCACCCCAGAAAAATGTGCCATGTGCATGCTGGAGCCTCATATAGTCCCTATCATAGCCATCCCCTCAGAGTACATACGTTCTCTAGCTGAAGGAGCCCAGATGGGGATGCTAAGGCACAGAGAGAGAGAGTAACTTACCCAAGATCACACAGTGAACTGGTAACAGAGCCTGAGCCCCTACCTCCTCCCTGTTTAGCTCACGGACTTTATCAAGGAAGGGCAGATGTGGGGGTTAGGGAGAAGCCCAGATACATTGGGTCTCATCCTGACTCAACCAATAGCTCCCTGTGTGACCTTGGACAAGTCACTCTCCTCTTTGGGTCTCAGCTTCCCCACCTGTATAAAAAGGAATTGAGCTAGATGATCTCCAGGGACTCTTGCTACTCTGACATTCTAGGCTCTGTTAATCTAAATGACTTCATGCGTCACCCCTCCAGGAGCTGAGATGGGGTGAGGGTGTGTGTGGACTACAGGGCTATTGTTTCCATGATACAACAGTGACAACTGGTCAGAGCCAAAACTTGCCTTCCCTCTCTTTCTCACCCAACCCCACCCCACCTAGGGCGGTGGCTCCTTTGCTGCAACAGAGGTGGGCCCAGGCTTCCACGTGCACCTACCTGGGCATACAGATTCTGCTGGGGGTAGGCACTTCTGATTGGATACATGGCCGTCTGATAGGGGTTGGGTGATGGGGAGTAGGGGGGCGGAGCAGTATTACTCTGGGTCGGTGGGACCTTGTATGGTGTCCCCGCAGTATATCCTGTACCAAGGCAATAAGAGAGACTTCCAATTAGTTGACAGAACAGCACTGTTGGAAGGCAGCAGGTCCCAGTCACGACTCCCCAGACAAGGAGGGGCTGATTCCAGGCTGGAAACACAGATGAGAACAGACAGCGAACAGGGCTCCACCCAGAGAGCCCTGGCCCAGAGGCAGCTCCCTCAGTCCTGGTGCACAGGGCTGCATAAGTAATTCTGGCATCTTTTATCTCGGGTTCTCAGGGGTATGATCTATAAAATAAGAGGCCGGAACCCGATGATCTCTTAAGGGACCCTGCAGCTCGGACGGTCTGGGATTCTGTGTACCGGGAGACAGGCGCGTGTGCCTGCTCGCTCTCTACGGCGCTCCGTCTTCCTGCTTTCTGTCTCCTCCCTCAGCGGCCCAGGGCGTCTTCCGCTGCTGGTTCTCTTCTGTTTTCTCCCTCTTTTTCTCCTTGTATCTCTCTTTTTGGACTTCTCTCTACCATGTTCCCCTGACAAATTTTAAGGCCAAAAGCCCATAGAAAACATTCAGAGATCCTCATCTCCTTTGATGCTAAAAAACTGCTCTACAGAGCCAGACTTTCCTCCACTCCTGGGGCTCAGGGAAGGACCACTGTGGCCTGAAGGCCTGAAGTCAGGGGTCACAAAAATTCACATCAACCTGGAACCCGGCCCCAGGGAGTTCACAATCAGCCATCCAATCAAACTGTGCTGCCTTTGAATCTTCTGGAAAATAGAATCAGATCCTATGTCTGCAGGAAAAACCTGAAACATAAATCACTCAGGAACAAGACTATGTACTTCTAGAACACAAAATGAAATGATTCTATGGAAACCAGGTGATTATCAAGTGACCCCCAACTCTCTTACTCTATACAAAGGGCTCAGGAAGGGCAAGTGTTTTCAGAAACAACTTCTGTCTGAGTTGAAGTGCCAGTGCCAGGAAACCTTGGCTTCTGCTCTCCAATGGGGTGTTGCTGGAGCTTCTTCCCTGTGCTTCTCATTCCGGCTCAGTCTGACTGAGCTTCTCCAGGCCTCAACTCAGCTCTTTTACCTACGGGATGCTCACCAAGGACTTTGTCAGCAACATGGTGCTGATTCTGCAATAAGGGGCTGGGGGGCAGAGTGGAGAGGGGTGCTTTATTGGAAGAGAACAGATCTAGGCTTCAGTTCAGGCTTTCTTCCAATCTGCGGTGACTACTGCCAAATCTCTGGGCCTTAGGTTCCTATTCTGTTAAAACAGAAGGCTAAGAATGAAGATCTCTTCCTGAACTAAAATCCCATTTTTCTAAAGATCCTGAGTCTCTTTACCTTAACCCTAAGTAAAAGCAAGCTGCCATAAGGTCACGAATCTTTCTCAGTCCCCGGCACTGACCTGGCATCCCCCTGCCCAAGGAGGTACTCAGTAGGACGGGAAAGCTGCTACTTGATCGTCACAAAAGGTGTCCTGCCCTCTTCCCTGGAATCATGCCATTTACTCTTCCCCCTTTCAGAACCAGTTTGTTCCATGGGAAACTGGTTTTATGGTCAAATATGCTTGGGAAATAAGTAGCGATGAGGATGGAAAGAATACATGCATGAGAAGGTAGCATCGTGAAGAACTAGAAACTAGACGCGGAGGTACGAGCCAGCTGAGAGAGAAGTATGGAGCAGATTCTTCCAAGTTTCTAGACTGTGGTGCTAACAGGATACATGGTTAGAGTAGGTGAAGCAGCTACTTCACTGCTGGGGGGAAGACAGGAAGTCTAGGTTTGTGACATCTAAAAGGAGCCATCTGAGGGCTCCTTCACCTTGGGGGCACAATCTATCTGTAAAACAAAGGGGGCTCTCAAAATGGGCATGTCCCAAACCTGTACAATGGCCTATATAATTCTGAAGGATTGTAATCATTTAAAAAAACAAAAAGAAGAGTAGCAGCAATGTAGAATAGAGATGAGTAATTTGTTTTTTATTCCATGACCCTGAGAAGTTTTAAATGACAGGATGAACTATGAATCTCCAAGACAGGCATATGCAGGAGACTATTTCCAAATTTATTTATTACCAAATCTTTTATTCATGCTATTAACATTTAAAGCACACAAACTACGGGGGGGCCTGGCTGGCGCAGCTGGAAGAGCCTGTGACTCTTGATCTCAGGGTCGTGGGTTTGAGCCTCACACTGGGTGTACAGATTACTAAAAGTAAACAAACAAATCAATAAAACATACAAACTCTAATTTTTTTTTGTAATCGCAGCTTATTTTGGGAAGTAAAATTTTACTGTAACATGGCCATGCCCATTCATTTACTTATCAACTACAGCTGCTTTCTTGCTACAATGGTAGTTATGACAGAGACCATATGGCCCGAGAAACCTACAGAACTTATTATTTGGCCCTCTCTAGGGAAAGCTTGCTGACTCCTGATTTGAGGAATAAAATAAGGTATGAGGAGTCCTGCTAGAGTGGAGAGCATCTCTTTTCTATGCAGAAGGGCAGGACACCCCCTGAATCCTAAGAAGCTTGCTCTGAAAGTTACACAGCACAGTGTAATTGTTATGAGTAGTCTGGAGCCAGAATGACCGCCTGGGTCTGAACCCCAGCCCTGCTATTTAGTAGCTACAGACTAGAGCAGTCTCATCATCTGTAAAATGGGGATAACAACAGTACCTACTTCATAGGGTTACTGTGATAACAACACATTAATAATTGCAAAGCCCTGAGAATAGCTCTTGACACATTAAAAGCACTTCATAAAAGTGAGCTATTACTCTTTTCTCTCTCTCACTGTGTAGAGAAATAGTAAGCTTCCTGTCCTGGGGATGTGCAAGCAGAGACTGGTCTGCAAGACTACAGTAGAGAGGTTAAGCTATGACTTCCATGGTGCGATCCAAACTGGAACACAGACTCCAGGATTCTAAGATTCTAAAACCGTATGGTTTAAAACACCATGACTTTAAAATTCTTTAAAGTTAACAAGCCAACGATGCTGGCATCTTTCCCTTATGCTCCCCAAGAATGTGCTCTGGAGTTCTTATCCCCAGGGGAAGCCTGCACTACCCCTCTATGCCGCAAGGACAACCATCTTACAAAGTGTTGAGGTTCCCTCTCTGAGGAAAATCAAAAAGCTCCAAGAGTCTGCAGGAGAATTTGGTTTCCACATCTAAGAATAACTTTGTCGGAGAATGTTTCCCTTTCTTCCTGTTACAAAATGAGATACACACATACTCAGAATACAAATCAGCAGCCAAAATGCCCTTGGCAGGCAAAAAGACAATGCTGCAGAAGAAGGCCCTGCTCGTTTGTCCGGACAGTTTGAGAAGGGAGAAGTAGAATTGCAGAACTAAAGGAGACCTTAGAGATCATTAAGCCCAACACAAACGTTTCACAGATGAGATGACGAATAGATGGCTGAGAGAGCGCAACTGCTTGCCCAGGACTCAGAATTCAGTGCTCCTTCCTCCAACTACAGTGGTTCTCAAGGTCTCCATCTGGGTCAGGAGGCTGCAGAAACTGCCTGGGCCCCCAGCCTGGGCTCTGTACGTGAGTCAGGTCAATTCTTCTCTCAAGGAATACCCTCATTTGGACTTGACAATATCAGCCGACCATTCTAGTGCTGGTATTCTAAGTCTCTGAGTATTTCAGTGAGACTTTCATGAGAAAATCATTGCAGAGGACTTTCTATAACTGATTTGGTGGTCCTGTCCATACAACTGAGGATTAGAAATTCCCCTGGGGCTGGAGCCTGGGCTACCTTGGGTAACACAATATTTTAGGATTTATTACTCTGCATTTAAGTAAAAGAAGCTGTTAGGCTGGATGCAAAAAAACTCACTGATTTTGCTCACATGAACTCAGACTCAGCTCCCTCAATGGAGGCCTGGCACTTGTGAATGGATTTCTACCTAAGTCTGAAGGTTACAGAATTAGGACTTGGGAATGCTATGCCTTAAGGACATTAGAGACTTGCATTCAACTCTCTACGTGTCAAATGAAGAACCTGGAGCTAAGATGGGAGCAGCGACCTTCCCAAAACTGCACAGCAAATCAGTGCAGAGCTGAACTCAGAGTTTAGGGTTTACCATGCCCTGGGCAGGGCTCCTTTCTGAGTTATAGGTCTCTGCAGTCCAATCTTGGACATTTGACATATTGGCCTTTGTGTCCTTATTTTACTAAAGGCAGTATCATGACAGGGAAAAAAAAAAAAAAGGAATTAGATCACTAGAAGTCCCTGCTCTGCCTTATAAAAGAGGCTTTATGAGGCCCCATTCTTTCTCTCAGGTTCCTAAATATAATTTTAGGCTCCATCAAACAGGATAATAAATAAAGTATGTACATTAGTGAGATAAAACCATTTCAGCCCTCCCTTGAATCTTTCTGCACTATCATAAATCTTTTTCAGTTGGAGAGCCCCTACCACCTTAAAGGCATTGATCCTCACATCAAGGATGCCTTTTAGACTAATCGGTTTATTGACCATCAGATTTACATGTCTGAACAAAGCTCTATGTCTGAACAAAGCTCTATGTCTGAACAAAGCTCTATGTCTGAGTCTTGCCTTGACCCGCCAAGTCTCCTTGTTGGTAGCCGAACAAGAAGAGTGGGGATAAGTAGGAGGGAGACCTAATTACAAATAGGCTTAAGCAAGTGTTAGTAAAATTGAATCTGTCAAAGTACCCTGAATTTTCTGTGGCATTAGAAGCCACAAAATCTGTGTGCTGGGGGGAACCCTGGTGGATGGGGGAGGGTCAGTCAAGCCCACTTCTATTTTCCAATTGCACAGGTTCACACAGGACTTGCTTAAAGGAGAATGGGTGCATTCTGGTCCTTTCCAGGAAATGTGACAGCCTGTGAGAGGACAGTGGGAGGAGCTGCTGGACATTTCAATGGGGCTTCAGGAAGATTTCCGCACATGGGAAGGCAAAGCCTATTATTCAGACATTCTCACCGTAGAAGGGGTTGCCTGTGGAGGGAATGAGTGCCCTGGGGATGTGGGAGTGAAGGCCCGTGGGTCAACATGGGCAGGGCAGCTAGAAAGGAGGTCCCTGCTGGGGTGGTGGGTATTGTGTACACAGCATCAAGGTGACAGAATCAGGAGTCTAAAAGCTAGAGAGAAACTTAAAGATGACCTAATTCTGCCTCTCCATTTTACAGTTGGAAAAACCTAGGTCCAAACCACAGACATAAATTATCCAAGGTTACACAGAACCACGTCTAGAATCCAACTCTTTTGGTTTCCGTTCCAGGCCTCTTTCTGTTCCACTAGAGTAGGTGTGTCTATATGCATCTATGACCATATGTGTGGACTTAAGAGAAAATATGTATGTATAAGCCTGTTTACCTATATGTTCATTCAATTCCACCTGAGGTACCTGGAAAAACGCCTTACTACTGCCATCCCTCTCTGAACAAATAAAATTAATCTCATGAAAAAGGTCAGTAAATTTAACCTGAAATTTAACCTGAGTGATATCGTGTTTTAGTTGTGCTGCTTGCTATTTGGATGGCACTGGCCACATTACTTTTCTGAGCCTCAGCTTTCAAACTTGAATGAAAATCCACCATAATAATAGGACTCTAGTGTAGATTAAATGAGAGGGTGATTATGAAAGCAAATCCTCTAACAGGTGAGAGTTATGTTGTTTAAATGTAAGTTGATGTTAACATCTAGGGGCAATGGTAACTAAAGAGAAAATAACATGGGTATTTTAAAGAAAAGAAAAAAATGCAGCATTTTCTTCTAATCTATTTAATAGAGTAATAATTTACTGAACCACAGACTATCAGGCTTAGACTGCAGCATCCCTCCAAGGGTACGTCAAGCCCCTGCTGGTACAATTTAAGAAATAAGCACCCCCCTCCATCCAAAGCTAGCCACTCCTCTCTTGGACAGCTCCAACGAGGCACAAAGTCTTCTTATGGACTCCAAGTGCCACTCAGTAATTTCTAAACACTGGTCCTCATTTTACCCAGGGGAGCATTCTTGTATTAAAAATCAGGCGTGAAGGTGAAACCATTAGTCACCCTACTGAACCTCAAGATGAATGTAAGCAATCTGACTGGACAGATGGTTTCTGTCGTCCCTGAGGACTCCACGTACACACCTTGCTCCCATGGTGTAGCTTCCACTAGGGGAGTGTTTCTCATGTGGAGGGCAATTCTGCCTCCCCAGGAGATCTTTAGAAATGTTGAGAGATATTTTTAGTTGCCGTAATGAGGGTTTGCTGGCATCCAGGGACTCTGCTAAGCATCCTACAATGCACAAGTTAGCCCCCCACAACAAAGCATTATCTGGTCCAGATGTCCATAGTGGCAAGGCTGAGAAACCCTGTGCTAGCTGGAGGAGTCTTCGCTGTCCCAGGGTCCACTGGCCTTCAAAGGTGCCCTCTGTTCTTTCCCTTGAAATGCAGTACCAGCTTTTCCTAATCACACTTGCTGGTCAGGTGCATACTTCCTCCCCCGTCCCTCACCGCTTTGTGTCTCCCCAAAGCTGGATACATGATCAAAGAGGATGACCTTTTCTGGATGAGGAAGGTTAATTTTTTGTGGGAGTAGGAGAACCTCTTAAAACAGTGTCTTATATGAACCACGACAGACTATGGACTCTGAGAAACAAGCTGGGGGTTCGAGAGGGGAGAGGGGTGGGGGGATGGGTTAACCTGGTGATGGGTATTAAAGAGGGCACGTATTGAATGGAGCACTGGGTGTTATATGCAAACAATGAATCATGGAACACTACATCAAAAACTAATGATGTAATGTATGGTGATTAACATAACATA